TTGTCTCTACCTAGACAAGGTCTGAGGGGCCTCTGCCATCAGTATCCCTTCTAAAAACAAAGGCTATGGCCTCCTTCGTGGCAGACTTGGCTTAGATTCTGTGAAACACAAATCAAGATATCAACATATTTCTGGATTGGTTGAAGACTATGTTAGAGGCTTCACTGGGAACTGAATGAGGCACTCTTGAAGCACTAAAGATTAATTGGCTCAGTGAAGGATCAAGATCCTCACAGATGAAGCATTTTTGAATTAGAAATGGTGGACTAGAATGATTATTATTATTTTTTTATACTGGACCTTTTTGAGGGTAATTTATGGGAGAAGTAGATGGAGATCATCATGGGCCACTTCATGAAATATTTTATTCATATGTAAAATTCCTGAGTAGCTTGACTAGTTAATGTGCTCTACTGAGCTCTGGTGGCCTAATGACAAGAAGCTGTGCTGCAATCCTGAAGGCACTCAGTTCGAGGCCATCAGCTGTTTCGTGGGAGAAGGATGGTAATCTCCTCCCATGCAATTAACTACCTTTGAAAACTGGCTGGAGGGTCAGCTATGGGTTGGTTCCGACTTGACGGTACACAAACAACAACAACTGTTAATCAAAGTGAGTTCTGGTGGCCTGGTTTTAAGTAGTTCAGCTACTAAACTAAAGACACAGTTCAAGTCCTCATTTGGAGGAGAATGGGCAATCTCTTTGATCTCAAGATCACTGTGAGTTAGAATTCACTTGACGGCAAGTGATTTGTTTTTGTCTTCTCTATTTAAGAAGGCTAAGAGAAGTGTCCTGTCTCCATACCTTTTCAATCTATATGCAGAACAGATAATTTGAGAGGCTGGACGTCATGAGGAGGAACGTGGCATCAGGGTTGGAGGAAGATTCATCAATAACCTATGTTATACAGATGACACAACTTTGCTTGCTGAAACTGAGGAGGGCCTGAAGTGCTTGCTGCAGAGAGTAAATGACTACAGTCTGCAATATGGATTGAAGCTCAACATCAAGATTCAAAGCTCAACATACAAAGATTCTCACCACCGGGCCAATATGCAGCATCATGATAGATAGAGAAGAGATTGAGATTGATAATTTTTGCTTGCTTAATTCCACAATCAACACCCTTGGAATGAGATGTCAGGAAATCAAAATATAAATTACATTAGGAAAATTGCTGTCAAGGACCTCTCCAGTAAAGAGCAACAATGTCAGTCTAGAAACTAAGAAGTTCCTGATCCAAGCCATGATCTTTACAATTACCTGTTATGCATCAGAGAGCTGGACAATGACCAAAGAGGATAGAAGAAGAATTGATGCCTTTGAATTGTGGTGCTGGAAAAGGGTACTGAAAAACCCATGAACTGCCAAGAGAACTAACAGGTCTGACCTAGAGAGGGTGAAATCAAGCTGTTCCTTGGAGGCAAGATCACATACTTTGGGTATGTTGCCAGGAGGGACCAGTTCTTAGAGAAGAACATCAGGCTTGGAAGGATGGAGGAACCGTGCAGGAGAAGATGACCTCAGATGAGATGGATTGACATAGTAACTCAGGTAATTAGGGTAGGTGTATCAGAGGCAGTGAGATTGGCCCAGGATAGAGCAGGTTTCAGAGCTAGTAGGCATAGGGTTGCTATGAGTTATAGTCAGACAGTGCATAACAATAAGAGATGTAAATAGATTTTTTTAAGTTGCAAATAACAACAAAAAATGTACATAGACTAATATTGCCCATTTTTACATTGTGGGAAAGTTTACATAATAGTGCATGGATTGCAAGAGGCAAGACCAGAGGCAGAACGATCATCAAGAAAACTATGGCGGGGGCAGGCATATCTTACTTTATTCTTACTAGGAAGCACCAGTTTCATTCAATAGCAGGGAGCAACAAGTGTGTGTAGACTGATAAACAGGAATGAGGATGGGTAGGGGCGGAATCACAGGTTTGCACAGTTTGGTGGGTGGAGGGAGGGGGGAAAGAAATGGGAAGGATCAAGGTGAAAAGACAGGATAATGATGGGCAAGGCCCAAAGGTGATTAATTTTATAAAACATAATGCATGCAAATGATTGTATGAAAGGTAATGTGAATGGAAAAATAGTGTGGAACATAATGTATATAAACTTTGTAAGCAAACCAATAAATAAAAAAAAAAAGAAAAGAGGCAACTGGCATAGAAATACATCTCTGGAAGGTTAAAAGAGAAGTTATTACTCACTTCTTTAACCGTCTCCTCTGACCCATTTTTGTTCCTTCCTTTTCCTCAGCACATTCAAAAACTAGAGTAACCTGACTCCTTCCTTCCTTCATGAGAAAGGGTCACCTTTAGACCCTGTCCAGCGTAAAAGGAATCACTCAAATTACCTTTACCAACTGCTCCCTAAGATGGCAAGTCATCTTGCCATCATGAACATACATTCATGTGTTCACTTAGTTATTAACTGATAAATCTTTACTCATTATAGAGATAGCATTGAACAAGGAAACCAAGATTAAGATCTTATACAGCCAGTGTTCTAGAAGGGAAAGCAGAAAATTAGTGGTAAGCAAGTAAATGAAAAATAAAATTTCAGAATAATAAACTAAAAATTGATTACCATCGAGTCAGAACTGACTCACAGCTGACCCTCCAGTGGATTACTGGGAGGCTGTAAGTCACACAGGAGGAGACTGTCTATCTTTTCCTGCAAAGTTGCTAGTAGATTCAAACTGCCAGAGAGACACTGTCTTTGAGTTAGCAGTGCTTCTCCTTATAAACTATACCACCAAAGCTTTTCAAAGTAATAACTACTCTTAAAAAACAAAACAAATTGCCTGTCCTCCTGGGTTTCCTATCTGTGCCAACTATACACCAATCACACAATCATTTAAGCTAAAAATCTGAGAAGCATCCTGGACTCATTTCTCTGAGGCATCGTTCATATTTATCAGTTATCAAGCCATATGGATTTCTGCTCTCAAAGGTCCTAAATCCATCTGTTCTTCTCAGTCCCACTGACATTAAAAGCAGATAGCATCTTGTGCTGCTCAAATCACAACATTCCTCTAGCCTTGCCCTCTTCTGTCCCGCCGTTATTCTCTCCAGTGTCTCTAGTAGAGCTCAGCTCCTTTAGACTCATACCTGAAACATTTTACTCAGCCAGGTTTTCAAGTCTACAAACTTGTTGAGGTGTTTTACACGTATCCTCATGCTTTTTAAAAAAATATTATTATTATTAATTTTAATGAAAATTTACAGGGATTTTGGATTTCCATTCATTAATTGTTGTACTTTTCTCCCTGCCCACCCCTCCCCTCCAGTTCATTCTTCTCTTAGAAAAATAAAAGAAAAATTCTTTCATTGCTATACAATCCCTTCCCCTAAGTTCACTCCTCTATGCAGCCTTTGTTCTGGACTCCTGTCATGACAATAATACCTAATCATATATCCCTTTGAAACAGTTCTCTCTATCATCTGTTTCAATGCAGTATACATAATTTATTTCATCTTTCTCAGTCTCCCCCACAACTCCTATGTTAGTCCCGTTTTACAACAGTGGCACTATGCTGTATTTGTCCTTTTGTGACTGAGGTATTTCACTCAGCATAATGTCCTCCAAGGTCACCCACTTTGAATCATATTTCATGAGTTTCTTGTTTTTCAACCTTTTGATAGTTACACCTTCATTTGACACACTCCTGCCCCTTCTTCTCCACTATAACTTCTTTATTCAAAGCTTAGATCTAATGTCACTTCCTTTAGAAATAACCTTTTTTTCTCCTTTGTTGCATAAATTCTATTATTAAAATATTGGGATTTTCTACTTTTGTGAATTGAGTGTTCATAACATTAATTTGTTGTCCATTCAATCATTGATACATATTTTGTTTTATAACACTAATATACCCATGATGCAACGCACTTTCTCACTTCCTCCCTATAATTCTCATTTCCACTAATCCTTCTACCCTAGCTCTTCCTGCCTTCTGGGCTTTATTCTTGGACAAATTTTGCTCTTCTGACCTTATGTGGTTGGTTATTCTAAGGAGTGAGTTACTGGCTACCCTATCAACCTGCCTATTTTTTGGCTGAAAGCTGAGCAATGGGAGTGAGTTTTGTTCCAGGTTCTAAGATGATACGGCTCTTAGACATAGGGGTTCTATTAGTTTTATTAGACCTGATCTTGGGTATGTTTTGGACTTTTATTCTATATTCCCTCAATACTATCCAGGATCTTATCATGGATACTTAGATCACACGAGCACATTTGTTACACTCATCAGTTTATGGTTTGTTTTCCTGATGGAGTTTCTTGCACTAGCATTCAAGTTAAGATTTCTTACTTGCAATGTATATGGACTCTGAGGTACGGGGCTCGCGTCCATCATTGTTTTAGTGAAATGAACTCATATGCACAGGAAATTTCCCTTCTTGTTTATGTTTTTGTTGCTTGATACTCATTATTTGAGCTCTGAGGCATTCATTACTTTTAATGGCATGGACGTGATCCTAATGGACCACAAAGATGGAGATAAATCCCCTGGATAACACCGTCCGAGAAAGCACAAACAATAATGATTCACAGCAGTCTCCAGCTCAGAAGCTGGCTCTTACCATTTCCAGTTTCATACAGTTGCTTATCATGATTGCAGCAGCTCCCTCCACCCAGGGTGTTAGATGTGGAACTTACCTATCTGCAGTCTCCTTGGAATAATTTTAAATGGGACCATATCCCTCCACCAAAACATGTTCTACTAGGAGGTAGCCTCCCTGGACTGAACCCTGATACTCAGTCACCCTGATATTCTGAGGGGGTCTTTGAGAGCTCTCTATATGAAAGAAAAAGCAGTTTCCTTTGAATGAATTTTCCTTTTGACACCTGTTCCCGAACAAGGTTCCTCTCTCAGCATATGTATAGGAGAGCACTTAGCCTCTCAAACTCTCACACTGCCTGTGCTGAGTCTATGTCTCTCTGACTATGAGAGTCCCTAGAAGGTATACTAAAAAACACAGTTCTCTTACTTGCATTCAGCAGACTCCGAATCTTCTTGGCTTCTTCAGCTTCTTGGACCAGCTTTTCAGCCAGGGTCATGTCCTCCGACTCTATGCACATGTCAGATTCTCGGAGGTACTCCAGGTAGTCAATCTCCCGCTGGGCACGTTCAACTCTTGTTGCTAGGGTATCGACTGCGTTCTTATACTCACTTGTGTAGGTCAAACATCTTCCCATCATAGTGGATATGTTTTTTGAGAAGTCTTGGAATTCTTGAATGTATGCCCTTGTTGCTCGGGTACACTTTTCCAGTGCTTGCTTCGGTCAGAAAATAAATTCCCAAGTCAATTATATCTCGTTACTTAAATTATCCAAAGAATATAAATAGCTATCATTTATAGAGAAAATATTTCATTTCTTTAATAATAAAAAAGAGGAAAATTAAAATAATCTATAAAATCTTCATCCTAAGATCCTGTTGATATTATGGAGTTTTGTTTTTGTTTTTTTTAATAATTTTTCATTTTATTTTTTTTACAGAGGTTTTGGATTTCCATTCATTCATTGCCGCAATTTTCTCCCTTCCCACCCCTCCCCACCAGCTCGCTTCCCCCTCCGAAGAGAGAAAAAAAAAAAAAAAGAAAAAAAATTCCTTCATTAATATACAATTCCCACGTCCCTTCCCCCCACCCCCCACCCCGAGTACATTGTGGAGTTTTAAAAAAAATTTCTAGGCAAATCAACTCAACGGAACTCAATTCATTGCTATTATTTTGAAACCGAGTCAGAGCTGAACCTCCAATGGATTTTCAGAGTTTGTAGATCTCATGGAAGGAGACTGCTCATCTTTCTCCTATGGAACTGCTGGTAGGTATGCACTGCCACCAGAGAGCCACAGCAGCACAATTCGCTAAGCAGAACACCACCAGAGCTCCCAAAGGGGCACACAATTATAAATATAAATATGTTTTTTATAAAATATTTTATTATATGTGTGTTTTAAAACTGCTGATGGATTATGAACATATTTCAATGCCAATATATGATGCAATTTTGATGACCATGCAGCATTCCATGGAAGTAATACCTCATTCTATTCTGTTTTTTAATGAGCATTTATGTAATTTTTAATTATTTTGCCCAACAAATAATGCTATGAGATCTTTGTATTTACAGCTTTGCATAACCAGTTGGTTTTTTTCCTAGGATATGTTTCTAGAAGTGTCATCCCCAGCACCTGGCATAGGCCTAGCGTATAGTAGGTACTTTATCAATATTTGTTAAGCTAAAAGATAAATAAATTAAGAATGGCTGTTAAATGGAAAGATAAATTAATTGAACAACTGGATTGACATAGTTTTGTACTTAAAATTCATTTGACATGGTTTGCAAATGTTCTCTACAAAAACTATAATCATTTCTATTCTAAACAACAGTTTATAAGACTGTTTGTTCCTTTTCAAGTTATCTTCTCTTTCTTGTTCCTAAAATACATACCCCACCAAATGGGAATTGGTTTTATACATCTATATTAACCAACAACTTGTACCTCAGCTTTAACATAACCAGGGCAGGAAGATCTACAAATTCTAAGCTATGGAAGTACTATTTTGTACTTTATACCATTGTCTGCTGACATATATACAGGATATAAAGTTTTAAGGCCTTGAGGAAGACTAGGGACCTGTCTGATCATAATTTTAAGGCAAGAGAACTCTGGTGGCATAATCCCTAGTCAGTTGCTCTGCTAACTCAAACGTCTCACATCTCTGTTGGTTCTAATCCATCCAGCGGCTTCTAAAGAAAAAGATGGACAATCTCCTGTTATGATTTCTCTAGCCTTGGAAACCCAATGGAGGGTTGTTATTAGTCAGAACTGACTGTTCAACAGTAAGTGAATTCTAGAGCAACCTGGTGCTAAACATAGAAGGACCAGGGCTCAGCACGAATCTGTTATCTTTATGGAGGTGAGGGTGTGGAGGGGAGCATGTGAAAGGGCAAATAAAAAGCAGTAAGAGGCCACCTGCTCACTAGTGTTTCATCTACTGGCTCAAGCCCTCAATCTTTTGATGGGACAATGCCAGTAAATGGTCTTAGTTTGTGGAATAATTTCATTGTGACTATAACTAGATGGCCAAATAGTTTGCATGTGAAATTCTTCAGGAAAACATAAAAAATAATGTTGGAGAAAAGAATGCCTTAGAAAGAAAAGAAATAGTTTATCAGAATTTTCTCTTTCCCTCCACTCACCCCGCCCCAAATTTTCAATGTATGAAACAAGGTACTAAAGTATGAAACAGTTAAAGTCAGTGTTGCGGGGTGTGGCAAAGGCTAGGACATCTTGTCCCTGGGAGCCTGCCTGTCAGCAGTGCCGGATTTTAATGAAGTGGCAGCTGCAGCACATGGGTGAGAAAGCCCAAACACACTCTCTCTATTTAACGTCACTAAAATCTGACCTCTTCTAAGTCCAAGTTCAGTTTGGCAAAAAGAGCTAAGATTTAGTTTCTTAGTTCACTGACATCATTATTTTTACACTAACCTAACATTTAAGGAGTTCTGGTGGCACAGTGGTTAAATTGCTCAGCTGGTAAGAGGAAGGTTGCCTGTTAAAACTCATCCGTCCACAAGAGGAAAATGTCTTGCTTCTGTAAAGATTTACAGCCTTGGAAAGTATCATGTTTCCTATGGGGATTCTATCCTCTACACTCTCCTATAGAGTTGCAATAAATCAGAGTTGACTCAATAGTAGCTGGTTTGGTTTTATTGGAGTCATACTTGGATCCACAATCAACAGCTTTGGTGCCAACAGCCACGAGACAAACTGCTTTGGGAAAGTCCACTATCAGGGACCTCTCCAAAATACTGGAGAACAATGATGTCAGGTTGAAGACTAAGGTGCACCTGATTCCTACCATGGTCTATACAATCACTTGCTATGCATCTGAGAGCTGGGAAATGAATAAGGATGACAGAAGAAGCATTGATGTCTTTGAGTTGTGGTGTTGGAGAAATGTACTGAATATCCCATAGACTGCCAAAACAACAGAGATATCTTGGGAAAAGTACAACCAGGATGCTCCTTGGAAGCTGGAATGTCAAAGATTTGTCTCTCATACTTTGAACATGTTGCTGGGAGATGCTATTCCTTGGAAAGGGGTATCATACTTGGAAAGGTATGCAAAAGAGAGGAAAGCAAAAGAGAGGAAAACCTCAATAAGATTGACTGACACAGTAACTGTAGCAACGGGCTCAAGTGTATGAGAGACAGTGAAGTAGCACAGGATAGGGTGGGTATGGGTCATACTTGATGGCACATAACAACAACAACTACAAGCAGTTGAGAGCTCTGGTAGCCTAGTGGTAAGGCACTGAGCTGCTAACCCAAAAGCAAGTGGTTCTAATTCAATAGCAATCTTCTCCTGTGTCATTTATGACCTCTGAAAGCCCACTGGGGCTTCAGCTATGAGTTAATTCTGACTACATAGCTCATAAGAACAACATAACAGCAGCTGATTATAAACAGCACAAAAACTTGAAACTCCAGCAATATCTTTGATTCCGTGAAATAGGAAGAGAGATACCAAATTTTAATTTCCTAGTTCTTGGGAAAAGCCATTGTGCTTGGAAAAGTAGAGGTCCAGCAAAGATAGTAGGACACCATGACTACGGCAATAGGCTTGGGCATGGTGGAGATTGTGAGGACGGTGCAGAAAAAGGCAAGATTTCCACCTGTTGTTTGTTTATACAGTTGCTATGAATCAGAGCTGACTTAATGGCAACTAACAACATCAACATTTTAAGAATTGAATCCTGAAATCTGCTCCCTCATATATCCGAGGCCAGTTTAGCAAAAGAAACTAAGATGATGACATAGCCATCCACTCAGGATCTGGGAGTGCTGGTACCTGGACTCTGGCATTGATGCTTTAAACCACTCTAGCCTCAATTCATTGTCCTTGAGTCAGAACTGACTCAAAGCTAACCCCTCCAGCAGGTTTTCAGACGTTGTAAATCACAAAGGAAGAGAAAGCTCATCTTCCTCCAGTCGAGCAGCTGGTGGATTGGAACCATTTGCCTTTGGGCTGGCAGAACAAGTCCTTACTTAATAAGCCAACAGTGCTTGAGGGCTTTGGAAAAGAAAAATAAAAGCCTATGAAATGCTTTTAAAGTGTAAATGTCATAATGTATTTAATATCTGTTGTTGCCAGTTGATGGAGAGATAATTCTTAACTCATAGTAACCCCAAAAGTGCAGAGTAAAACTACTCCACGGGGTTTTCAAGGCTGTGAACTTTCAAAAGCAGATTTTCCAAGGAGCCTCTGAGCAGAGTAACACCACCAACCTTTCAGCTAGTAGTCAAGCATTAAGCATCTATGACACCCAGGATCTCATCATTTATCACTTTCTAGCTAGAAAAATACATTCCAGTGCCTAGGAAAGTACAGATAGTAATGTGATTCCAGAAGCTATGTTCCCGACATAAGGTGCACAGATGCCACCTACCTCCAGGACTTGAAAGCGCTGGTAGATGTAGTGCACCATGGCTGGGTCTTGGGCACAATGTGGCGGAGGCAGAAAAGTTGTGAGGACTAAAATCAGGAAAGCAGAGATTCCCCTTAAGGCCATCATCATGGTACGAATCACCTCACCCTGGAGGGTGGGAGGCGTAGATTCTGTTTGTTGTAATCTCAAGAGTGAGCCAAGGGCCCAGGCGGTGGTGAATTCCGTTTTCTACCTTTCCCTCTGCAGCTGTGGCAAATCTTCTCAAAACACTGTCTTGTACAGCCGGTGAGTAAAGTCTGTTTATTATTCCACTAGATGCATGAGCTCAGCTTTTAAGTTGGTGATCAAGTCCAGCTGTTGGCAAGTTCATCCCTTATGGCCTTGCAGGAAAACTTGGGGCAGAGAACTTCCTGGGTCCAGCATCTGTTCATCCCGCCCCTTGCCTTTTCCTTTTACTCTCGCTTGCCTCCTCCCTAGTGCTCTGCAGTCCAATCACAGGCCTGCCCCAACACAAACCACCCCAACTTTTCAGTGTTGGAATCTCAAATGAGTTTCTGGCAAAAATTTCCAGGATCCTTTTCCCAGAAGTCCTGTTAGTTGAACCCACCCCACCTCCAGACTCTCCAGATTGTGCATTCCTGCAGCTCTTAAAGGAGCAGCATGGAAAAGGAAAATGGCTATGTTCTTGTCTCTGAATGGCCTGGGCACAGAACTGGACTACTTCTTGAAGATAGAAGTAGACTGAGTCATAACTTGAGATCCCAAACTCACAGATAAGCAACACCAGCATGGAGCTTAGGGAGTTTTATGAAAAGGAAGATAGTCAATAATTACTAATATAGCAACATTTCCAAGGCCAAGACATCAGGCAATTAAACTACTTCATGTGGAAGTTCTTGGACATCCTCAATCACGAGTAGAAGAATTCCCTTCACTTATGGCTGCAGGCATGTGGTTGTGTGGATAAAAATAAATTATGGACAACATTGAGAAGCATGGGAATTCCAGAACACTTAATTTTATTCATGTGAAATCTACACACCTTTGAGCTGTGGTGCTGGAAAAGAGCACTGAACATCTCATGCACGACCAAGAGAACAAATAGATAAGTCTTAGAGAAGGTGCAGCCAGCAAGAATGATGAAGCTTTGCCTCGTACATTTTGGACATGTTCTTAGGAGGTGCTATTCCTTGGAGAAGAATATGATGCTGGGAAGGGGGGGAGGGTTAGCAAAGGAGAAGACCCTCAACCAGGTGGATTGACACGGAGACTGCTGCAATGTGTCAGGAAGAGTGAGTATGGCACAGGATAGAGCAGGGTTCAGATCATTTGTACATAGGGTTGTTATGTGTCATACTCCACTTGACGGCATCTAACAACAACTATACATAGACCAAGAAGTAGTTATCTGAACAGAAGAAAAGAACACTGCATGGTTTAAAATCAGGAAATGTGTGTCTCAAAGTTATATATCCTTTCTCCATCTCCATTCAATCTATATGCTGAGCAAATAACCTGAGAAACTGGGCTATATTAAGAAAAATGTGGCATCAAGTTGGAGGGAAGACTCAACAATCTGTGTTATGTGCATATGACACAAGCTTGCTTGCAGAAAGTAAAGAAGATTTTAAAAAAATTGGAATGCTTCATGAATGTGTATATTTCATTATCCTTGGATAGGGGCCATGCTAATCTTCTCTGTATTGTTCCAGTTTTAGTATATGTGCTGCCATAGTGAGCACAGTAAAGATTTATAGTACTAACTGAAGAAGATCAAATATAACTTTCAATAGGGATTAAATCTTTCAATAGGGATTAACATCAAGAAAACAAGTATCTTCATCACTGGACCAAAAGGCAACATCATGATAGATGGAGAAAAGATTGAAGCTGTCCTGGATTTCATTTTACTTAGATCCACAATCAACAGCCATGGGAACAGCAGTCGAGAAATCAAGAGATATGCTGCATTGGGCAAATCTGCTGTTAAAGACCTCTTTAAAGTGCTAAAAAGCAGAATGTCAATTTAAAGATAAAGTGCACTCAATACAACCCCTGATATTCTCATTGCTTCCTATGCATCTGAAAGTTGGACAATGAATATGGATGATCAAAAACTGATGAAGAGTCTTGAATGTACCATGAACTGCCAAAAGAACAAACAACTCTGTCTTGGAGCAAGTGTAACCCGAGTGTTCTTTGCAGGCAAGGATGATGACATCTCACCTCACAGATTTTGAACATGATGCCAGGAGAAAGCCATCCTTGGAAAAAGGCATTGTGCTGGGAAAAGTGGAGAGTCAGCAAAAGACAGGAAGACTCTTAATGAGATGGATTGACACAGTGTCTACAGCAATGGGCTTGAGTAAGGTAGGGGGTTTGAGGATGAGGCAAATCAGGGCAAAGTTTCTATCGTTCATAGGACTGCCAGGAGTAATAGGTGCAGGTCATCGTGCTTGGCAAAGAAATTGAAAAAGAGGAAGATTCTCAGCAAGATAGATTGACTCAGTAGTTGGAAACAATGAGCATAATAACAGCAGCAATTATGAAGACATAAAAAGGCTATTGTTTCCTTCTGCATAGTACAAAGGGCCACTATGAGTCAGAACTGATTCAAGGGCATTAACTACAATGATAGCTGCAGGTTTGAGTCCCTGCATAGTGCAAATGGTCAATGCACTCAGCTGTTAATAAAAAGGTTGGCGGTTTGGGTCAATTCAGAGATACTTCAAAAGAAAAGCCTGGTGAACTGCTTTTGAAATATCAGCCACTGAAAATCCTAGGAGGTCAGCTTGAGGTAGAACTGACCTGACTAGATGCAGATCAGAAAGAATGGGGCCCCAACCTCTTCCTATTCTCCCAACCCAAGTAGAAGTAAATAATATTCCTAGAGTAAACTGGTAAAAATCTTCCAATTTAGCCCTTAGTGTCCATGTCTCCATGTAGTTTGTAGGGGACTTTTGAGACAAATACAGATTGTAAATTTGTATATGTTGTTTTTGTTGAGTATCATCAAGTCAGAACCAATCCATAGCTAACACTCCAGTGGGTTTTCAAAGGCAGCTAATCTTATCAGAAGAGATTGCCCGTTCTTCTCCTGAGGAGTTGCTGGTGGATTTGAACTGCATCCCTTCAGGATTGCAGCACAACTTCTTACCACCAAGCCATCAGAGCTCCTTAAATTTATATTTAGCCACTGAAAAAGACACTAAAGGCTGGACTTTCCCCTATTATCTTTGTTCCCATTATTTATTTTTTCTATATCCTCTTTCCACATGCCATTAGCCCTTAACTATTTTTCCCTATCCCCTTGGTAAACATCCAGTTTATCTCAACAAGAGCTAGTCATCCTTAAATACAATTCTTATCATTTCTGAGAATCATCTGTAAGCTATTCTATAAATGAGCTGAACTTTAGTTGATTCTTCCTCCTAAAGTCTTACTAGAAAGTCCTGCCTGACTCAGGTTTCTTCCCCAAGGGTTTAGTGCTTTTGGAGAGTTTTCATGCCTGGCATTTTCAAATTAAATCTTATACTAAAGACACTGTGGATGATTTTTTTCTGTAAATACTTTCAGTGCTAACCCTGAATTACTGGACCAAGATGGATAAGAGCCAAAGAAAACTCCGACACAGTTAACTCATTAACTTTTGGGTGGTGGCATTTGAAAGATTCAAACTCACTGAGAAGTCTAGAAACAACACTAGCCAGAGTGCATGGCAAAAATGCTTTATTTAAAGTGTGTGGAACTGAAGCTCAATTAGCATCAGTTTCAAAGGCTTCAGGCCATTTTCCATTTTTTCAGCACACCTTGTTTTAACTGTCAACTATCTCCTGGGGTGGGTCATAAAACCGTGTCTAGAAGTAAACATTCACCAGATTGTTTACTCTTTCCTGGAACACACAGAGTATTCTGCTCACCAGGTTGTACCAAGAAATCTGGGAGGACAACTGGCTGGGCAACTGACTAGAAGAGTTCCATATTCATTCCCATTCCAAAAAAAGGTGACCTGACAGACTGTGGAAATTATTGAACAATATCATTAACATCACATAGCAAACAAGATTCTGCTGAAAATGATCCCAAAGCACTGGAACAGCCCATCAAAAAAAGAACTGCCAGATGTGCGGGCTGAGTTTGGACGAAGCTGTGGAACTAGGGAACTAGCCAATATTAGATGGGTCTTAGCTGAAAGCAGAGAGTCTCAGAGGAATGTCTGTGTTTCATTCACTATGCAAAGACATTTGACTGTGTGGATCATAACAAACTGTGGCTAACTTTGAAGAGAATGGAAATCCTAGAACACTTGACTGTGCTTACACGAAACCTATACTTGGACCAGGAGGCAGTCATCAGAATAGAGCAAGGAAACATGGCATAGTTCAAAATCAGAAAGGTTGTATGCCAGGGACATGTCCTATCTTCATACCTTTTCAATCTATATGTGGAACAGATAATCCCAGAGGCTAAGCCGTATAAGGAGGAATGTGGCACCAGGATTGGAGGAAGACTCATCAACGGCCTATGTCATGCAGATGACACAACCTTGCTTGCCAAAATTAAGGAAGACCTGAGGCATTTGCTGCAGAAGTTCAGGACTATAGCCTTCAATATGGATTGAAGTTCAACATCATGAAAACAAAGATTCTTACCACTGGGCTAGTTGGCAACATCATGATAGATGGTAAAGAGATTTGAGATTGTTAACAGTGTCAGCTTGCTTGGCTCCACGATCAACTCTCTTGGTATCAGCAGGCAAAACATCAACAGATGAATTGCTCTGGGAAAATCTGTTTGAGACCTCTCCAGAGTACTGAAAAGCAATGACGTCAGTCTAGAGACTAAGGTATGCCTGATCTAGGCCATGGTCTTTGCATTAAAAAGCTGTACAAGACTAAGGAGTATAGAAAAAGAATTGATACCTTTTGAGTTGTGGCGCTGGAGAACGGTGTTGAATATACCAGGAACTGCTAGGAGAATAAACAGGTTCATCCTAGAGAGAGTGAAACCAAGCTACTCTTTGGTGGCAAGGATTTTGAAGCTTCATCCGACATATTTTGTGCATGTTGCAAGGAGAGATCAGTCTTTGGAGAGGGATATTATGTTCAGAAGGGCGGAGGGATAGCACA